ATGATGAGTGTACAGCCTGGGACAGGACAGGTGAGCGGTGATCCGTTGAACGACAAGTGCGCCGCATCTATGCTGCCAAATATAACATGGATCCATCACCCGTTGTTGAAGATCGACCAGGCACATCGGATCTGGACCTTACCTGGGACTCAGTTCAAGATTACGATGAATGCGTGTATTACCATGAAGGAAGCGATCTATACGCCGAAGACGTCGATGGCCAGATGGCGGTGCTGCCAGAAGTACCTGTGACGACGGAAGATGTGAGGATCGAAGATATTCAACTATGCGGATCTGATAACCAGACTCCAGAAGAAATTGAACGACTTAGCCAAAAGATCTGGAAGTTCCGACATCTCTTGATCGGTAAGGGAAATGCCCTTCCGCCGGCGGCTAGAGGCGTCGTGTGCGATATCGATGTCGGGGGAGCGAGACCTATCGCCCTCAAGTGCCGTAAGTTGCGGATCCAGTTCAGAGAGAAGGTCGCAGACCTGGTCAAGGGACTATTGTCTGCCAAGATGACCAACTATTCTAGATCACCATGGGCTTCCCCAATCGTGGTGATCATCAAGAAGAATGGGGTGGATATCAGGCTATGCATCGATTATCGGTTGGTTAATAGTCTGACACAACTGATGGTATACCCAATGCCCTTGATCAACGATCTACTCAAAGATCTGGAGTCGACACTGTGGTACTGCTCCTTGGACATGGCAAGTGGATTTTGGGTAGTGAAAATGATGGATCGTGCTCGGTTGATCTCGGCTTTTATCACTTCCTTTGGGTTATTTGAGTGGAATCGAATGCCTTTTGTCTTGAAGAATGCGCCCAAGATATATCAACGTATGATCGACAACGCGCTATATGGGTTCACCCGGATCCCGAAGTCTGAAGATCACGGAAGTGCTTTGGATGTGTTCGAGGACGGGGAACCGGCGGATCCGGGCAAGCCTTCGGTGCTTGGTCGCAGATCATATATCGATGACATCCTGATTCCCGTCGATAACTGGGATCAACTATGTGACCGAGTCGAGGGGTTGCTCGAAGCATGTGATCAGTGGAACCTGTCGATCAGTGTGGTTAAAAGTTTCTGGGGAATGCCTAAGGTGGAGTACCTTGGCCATAAGGTCTCGTATAATGGACTGGAGGCGAATCCGAAAGATCTGTCTGCATTAACTGATCTAGTCTTTCTAGGATCACTCAGAGCCATGCAATCATTTCTGGGAAGTCTGAACTATTATAGCCGATTTATCGAAGAGTACGCGATCTATGCGTCGGTTTTGTACGAATTGCGAGAAATCGACTT